GTTTACTCCCAGTTTTTAGTATGTATTTGTATATGCATGTCCATATTAATCACACAGTGATACACACTAATTAACAGGAACCTATTCAGGCAGGAGCACAAGGGCATTCTAGGGAGTACGGGTGTTGTGAGCACTTTGTCTTTAAACAGAACTTGAAAATGTAAGGAATTCTCTAATGCAATAGAACTCAGGAGTAAATAAATGCACTGTTTGATTGCTCACAGTTATTCTTGCTACAGAGATAAGACAAAAGAGCACAAACCAGTGAATGTCTGGACTACTGACTGGTACACGGTGCTGCCCATCACTGTCCTGCATGGGGAGGAAAGAGCCAGCATCGTTTACTTCTTCATGGTGCTAAAGAGCAGTTTTCTCTTGCTTTTTGATTGATGCCTTTTTGTTTGTTGGTACGAATGAAATTTGATTGCACTGTAAACAAAGACATCTATCATCTTTTTTCCCTGATTGGGAGGCTGTGTGAAGCAGTAACAAGGTCAAGTACAAAACACTGTCTGCCAACCTTGCAGTCACTTTGTCTCTGGTATCTTAGTCAAATCAAGTAAATTATTCTGTAATATATCTGTGAACAGAGCCTATAACCTCTGTGAATGCAGTCCTCATTCTAGATTTGGCTATTTGGTCATAATAAAATTGCTTTCTGACCCATTGAGTCAATAAACTTAATTTCAAAATTAATCTTTTCAGGCTTCAAACTCACTGGATCCAATTATGAATCCAATCGTTCCCTTTAAATTTAATACCCTGAAACTTGGTGGTCTAGTGCTTCTTGCCCTTATGTGCCTCTTTGGTACTTAACTTTATATTAGTTGGCCTATAAAATTAAATCTCTAAGGAAGGAAGTGTCAGAACAGCTTCAAATCTTAGATCTTCAATTACAAATGTTAGTATGAAATGCTCCCTTTTCCTGCAACATTTCCTTTTAATTGGTATGATTACGCACAACAGGTTATAATTATCCACTAGTTCATTACAGGTCTCTGACTATCCATACTAGACCAAACAGGAGCAGGAATTCAGATGTTATTTTTCCTTGGAAGTGGTGGTGGTTTTTTTAGCTTTTATCCAAATTGGTCACAGTCCAAACACTTCAGTCTTTGCCTAAAGGGGTGAAAACCCTGATTTTTGTCTTCATTTATTTCCAGTAATTTACATAAAATTACATTCTGTGGGAAGATCCACTAAAATGTTTAGATATCTCATATTTTTTTTATTCTTACAAAGTATGGGTGCTAATACAAATAATTTTAAATGGTCATGACTGCAGGATATCTGGGGCAAAACCTGCATTTCTTATGAGAAAAGCAACTTAAAAATCATGCAAGTCTTTGTCCTTCCAAATTCCCCATCCCAGCCATGAAGGATCTTGACAACCCTGGCTATGTATGGATGCAGGGGCAGTCTCTGGAGCACCAACAGACTCAGCTCCCCTGGGACAAAAGGCAGGAAGGACTGATGTGGACCTCTGACTCAACTGCTTGGGTTCAAACACCCTTGAGGCCAGCAAGGTCTTGCTCGACCTACAGCAGAAGCAGACAGGGAAGGAGGTGGAGGTTGGGAGCACTCGGTACCCACCCGAGGTGGGGCTTTTTGGAGCACTTTTCTCTGCTCTCCAGGGCACTTCCAGGTGGTCTCATGTCAAGCCTTCTCCCAGCTGGGAATGCACCACTTCAGCATGCATTTCCCTTGGGTGTGGGAGAGGATTTTGTTATCAGGATGATGCCAAAAAAACCCTGATTCTGAAGGCATCGACTGGCGTTCAGGGATGGGTAATTTGCAGCATCACTTAGTGTCCTTTTGAGACATTAGTGATGACTTATTCCTTACTGTTTAAACATTTTAAGCAAGTGCTTATTACAGCACTTCTTCTCTAGAGGAGGGAGGAAGGGAAGACTCCTTCACAGAACCCATTAGGAAACTCAAGCCTTAAATGAAGTGACCACAAAGTCCCACCAGCCCCCAGCAACACAGCAGCTGTACATATCTAAGGTAACACAAGGCTTTACTGTTGCAGAGATCTGCTGCTTAGAACATCCACAGGGCAGGTGAAATGAGACTATTTTTACTTCTCTGTTTGAAAAGCAAGAAGTGTAGAGTGGCAGAACTTCTCAACTACAGAAGTAAGCACCAGGCTCATGGAGCAGGCAGGTATGCTGTTGGACTAGTAATAACACGTTAAAGGTCACTGGTTAAATCTGAAACTATTGCAGTTTTCTCCTTTGATCTTGTGCCTCAAGCCTCTACTACAAACCAGTGAAGTGCAAAATAAGAAGCATGAGGGGCTGCTGATTTCTGCTGTACCTGCCTGAATTTAACAGCAGCATTTCCTACATTTTTGATCCTTGGGTCATCTCATGCCATAAATACAAAGGCAGCTCCGAATTTCCCCTGCTGGGTCAGATCCTGTGCAATTCCAGATGCCACAGGTGCAAAGAGGAAGAAAAGTTGACCCACTGGCTTAGCTTTGAAGGGGAGCCAATGTAGTAACCAACACTTTATCAATTATATGGAATTTGTCCTGTTTTGACAAGTCCTCCCATATGACATGTTAATTTGCAACCTCTTTAGAATGTTTCACTGGGAGATGATGGTAAAATAAAATCAGGAACATCTATTGTTATTTAGATATATACAAAATATTTAATACAGAGAGCTTTCTGGATGGAAATATTCAGCATCTTTCAGCTTCTAGAAGAAGTTAACAGGGGTGTAGGAAAGGGAATCAGAGGGAATTAGATGCTCTGATTCATCCTTCCTCATAACATAAGGACAAGGAGACCTCCAACAAAGCACATGGGTAATAAATTGTAAGTCAGGTTAAAAAGAACTTTCTCATATATTTCCTGACTGATTAAATTCATGGCCATAAAATATTAGTGAACCCTACTACTCATGGGTTAGCAGGTGGCTGAAGCACACCTATGCATCAATAAGGGATCTAAAACCTCTTACTTCAGGATCTAAGCTGAGGGAGAATGTACCATGAACTGGTTGTTCTTTCATCTGCCCCCCCAAGGCTTCCTGAATGAGCTGGTGCTCCTCACTGCTGGACACACAGGACCACCTCACTAGGATCACTGACAATGCCTCCACTACCATGAACTATCTTACCCATGTACATTTGTACCAGCTGCAGGTGATCTGGATCCTGCCACTCCAGAGTGTCTTACACGTTGCAAGGCACATCCACGTGTGTGTGTGTGTGTGTGTGTGTGTGTTAAGGCACATCCTACTGCACACACATAAACACACGTGTGTGTGTGTGTGTGTGTGCGCACATACATCCATGAATCCTAGTTTTCCAATGAGGAGCACCTAAGGAGGATACAATTGCCTCCTTTACACTTTTTCTACACTAAAAGGATGCAAACCCCACTCCTCACAAGAAGATTCACATGACTTTAACCTGACCATCTGCTCCAGTAGACACGATGAGCTTGATTCTCTAAGACTGCCACTAAAATTCCACTCTACTGATTTTTGCAACCTAATTCTTCAGGCATTTTTCCCCCCTTTTTGTTGTTGGGTTTTGGTGGGGTTTTTTAGGCAGGATGATGTGACCCAAATTTATAAAGGAGGCCAATTTGCTCTTACATTGCATCTTGAATCTAGGATTCCTATGTACTTATTTGTTATTACCACAGATGTAAAAGACCAGATTTAGAGACCTGAATTCAGCTGGAACCTGACAAGCTTTGAACATTCTGTAGTGTTGGGGAAAATGGCATAATTTAGAAAACTAAAACCTAATGGGTTTTATGAATAATAAATGTTTCTAAGACAATAAAGGCTACCCAAAGACTCACGTTATTAAGCACTGAAAGGACACAGCTACTTTTTTCAACAAGTAAAAATGCCAGAGCATTCCTTTGTTATTTTTCCTTAAATGAAATATCACACGTTCTGCTGCAGGAACAGCTGCTGAAGTAACCTAGAGGGCATTTTCAGGCACTGTACTTCAGTGATTACAGCAATTTTTGTAGACACTCAATATTAGGAATGCATTCTAATTTTAGACAGAGTTAAATTTAAATTGAGTAGGAGGGGTTTTCACGCTACTCTAGATGTTCTAGCACTGCTTGCCCCAGCCCAAAACCTGCATCGTGTCTGAATTTTGCAGCAATGATAGAATCCTAGAATCATAGAATGGTTGAGGTTGGAAGGGACCTTCAAGATCATCAGGTTCCAAACTCCCTGCTATGAGCAGAGACACCTCCCACCAGCCCAGGTTGCTCCAAGCCCCATCCAACCTGCCCTTCAACACTGCCAGGGATGGGGCAGCCACAGCTTCCCTGGGCAACCTGGGCCAGGCTCTCACCACCCTCACACTCAAGAAATTTCCTCCTCATGTCTAATCTAAAATTCCCCCTTGTCCTCTCCCTCCCTGCCCTTGTCCCAAGCCCCTCCCCAGCTTTCCTGGAGCCCCTTCAGGCACTGGAAGCTGCTCTAAGGTCTCCCTGGAGCCTTCTCTTCTCCAGGCTGAACAGCCCCAGCTCTTGTGAGTTCTACACTTTAAGAGAATGAAACTAGAGCTGACAAGCAGCAGTGGGAAGACACCTGCTATCATGATGGGAGTCAGACTTAGGCCCTAAAAGCATTTACCCACTAGCCATGACCCCAATGCCACGGGACCTAGTGACACTGTCATACAAAGCCCTCCTCTACTATATTTTCATTAGTCTCCCTCTTTGTTTTGTCTATGCAGCAAGTATCTTGGGACTCTAAGGCCAAATTGTGACTTTTATGTTACTGCTTATCAGTTTTTTCCATTCCCTGCCTCACAAAACCCAAGCATCAGGCTGAAGGAAACTGAAAGAAACAGGGTTAGTAAAGGGCCGACAGACAATACAGATGGAAAGTGGAGGGATTGGGTGAAACAGAGAAAACCAAAGAGAAGAGCTTCTATCGGGTGCTAAATGAGACGCAGGCCGGGCTTGATTAAAGCTCAGGCTACATGGGTTATCTTTCCTTATTTCTCTTACCTTGTTTCTCTTGAAATACGCTCTTCGGCAAGCGGCAAAGCACTTCTCGCTGCAGAAGCATTTCACTTCACTTCCCATACTCAGGGAATAGCGCTTGATTCCAACTTTCTGGCACCAGGCACACATTATTTGTACATTTGACACATCATCTTCTACAACAAAAATATAAGAACAATGTTTACACGAGATGCAAACACCTTCCTCAGACATCTGCACACCTACTCTTAGATAAAAGCAGCACAGGCTCATCCTGGTTCTAAATCCTCACTGTCTGTGCCTGCCTGTGACCACCAGCTCTGTCCTCAGGCAGCCAGTGACCTGTGCCAGGCAGGCTCAGCAGACTGGCAAGGCTTCTAAGATGGCTGGAAAAGATGATTAGCTTAAAAAATGGTGCATTGCTGAAAAGCTCTGGAAACCTCGAGAGGTTTTTAGCATGTTTAAGAGCGCACAAATCTGTATTAAATGAGTAACCAAGACCAGAGGCTTAATGAGCATTGCTGCTTTGTTCTTGTTACTAATAGTCTGTTGTAGTGAGCCCCTGAGATGTTCTGCTCAGCAATTCAGTGATAAAAGACACCCAGAAGGTTCTGCACCAAGACAGGTCACTAACAAGGTCCCTCTTCCAAGGAAGAAGGAACATGAAATGCCCCCTTCTCAGCTGCTTCGAAATAATAGAATCATTGAACAGTTTGGGTTGGAAGGGACCTTAAAGATCACCCAGTCCCAACCCCCTGCATGGGCAGGGACACCTCCCACCAGCCCAGGTTGCTCCAAGCCCCATCCAACCTGCCCTTCAACACTGCCAGGGATGGGGCAGCCACAGCTTCCCTGGGCAACCTGGGCCACTGTCTCACCACTAGTGAGTGGTGACCAGTGCACAAAACAGGGACCTCTCGTGTGAATAGAGTAGTCACAGAAACACAGATTCAAGCAAGAAGAAAGACACATCCCTGTGGTAAAGTCTGCCAGGTTATTTTCCAGTCTTTATGCTCACCAGTCAGAGAGAGTTCCTAAGTTTCTTTGGAGCTCTTCACTAACACGTGATACCTTCTGCCATGAGAAAAAAAACCCAGGGCTTATCACTAAAATGCTAGCAACATCCTTGTGTGCTCATCATTTCCACCCCACCTTCACAGATGGGGACTGTGAATAGTTAAGTCTCCTAAACAGATCAAGACAGTAGATTTAGCAGGAATCTTTCTGACTTAAAACCCAAGAGTTCTTCAGTTCTGATGTCCAGTCTATGACACAGCGTGACCTTCAGTTACAGACAGCAGCCACTGCCTAGCTTCTGGAAAATAAAAAAATCCCCAAAGACTGATTGTTAAAGTAGTTCCTGGTCCATGAGCTGTGGAGAATTCATAGCTCAGAGAGTCTGTCATGCAGCCATCCCATTTCCCTATAAAGGATTTGTTTTTGAAGCTACGCTGTCATCGTTCTGTAAAATTATTGGCAAACTAATTTTTAGCAGAGTGATTTGGCTCCTTGCCCTGGCTATCATAACTCAGACCTACATGCTGCATTTTATTCACCTTAACCAAATAAATATTGCCAGTTTAATAACTTCTTTTTTTTTTTCCTTCTACAAATTGTATTAGGATTTATAGCCACAAATAAAATTGTACAATGTCAGGTAATGACCTTTTAGTTTTAATCAGACTGTCTACCTTTAAACCTATACTTAAGGTTAAGTTATAAGACTTAAGTTATAAGACAGATTTGTGTTTAATGCATTTTATCACTTACCCTTGAGAGTGAGATTTGCCAATAACAAAAATGCTTTCATGCACTGAACATCAAGAGAAATCAAAACAATTTGGCCAAAATGATCACCAGCCACCTATAGGGTGAAGAGGCCTGTCCTGGGGCTGGTTGTGTCTCAGCACAGGAGCTGTCACAGCTTTCTCTTCAGACCAGGATGCCCCCTGATCCAGCACATCCCACCATTTTTATCCCAAGCCACTTGAAGTACCAAGCTTTTACAGAGGTGTCCTGATTCAGCTACTTTTGCACCATAATAAAGCAATTCCTTACAGACTGAACTTGCCCCTTGGAATGTATGAGGACAACAGAAGATCCTATGAAGCAAAGGAAACAGATGGCAAGCTCTTGTTCCAGATAACAAGAACATCCACGCTCCTACTGATAAGAAATGTTTTATCTCTGGAAAACAGAAGATCTATCAGTGATACCTGTATAATAGTCTTCACTTCTGGTGAAAGTAGCTTGTCATAAATGAAAAAAAAATAAAATTACAGAGCAGAAAAAGACTTCACTGGCAAAACAGGTGCTGGGCTACCTGTTTTTCAAACAGGTTGGCTCCCCTGAGGCAGAGCTTTTAAGGAGGAGCACAGAGGTCCACCAGTGGGATTCTCACAGGCTCCATGCACAGCTTCACAGGGGAAGCACCACAGCTACCACTGGACTCCCTGTTCACTGACACCCACCAACTGCCTCCCATGGGTGATGGGAAAGACCAACACCCCTGCCCATTTGCAGTTACAAAGCATCCCAACAGCAACACCTGTTTACATGGAAAAGATGCATGACACACCTCTCAGCAGGAGGTTACACAGGACAGTAAAGGTCAATCCACCTCCTCCTGCCAAAGACTTCCTCTAAGAGCCTGGCAAGATGAGAAGAGGAGAGGGAGAGGCACCTATTCTGCCAAGTTGTTGTCTCCCCATGCCCTGGCCAGCTGAACCTCACCTCCACCTCACAGGGAGCTCTCTGAAATAGCCCTTGGGACCTGATCATCAATGAAACAGCAGAGAATGGTCCAGAAAGTACTTCCAGCTGCTGTTTGCACCTCCAGGAAGGGACAGCTGATATCCAGAAAACCTCATCAGTATTAGTCAAAATGTTCAGCATTTTGAAGCAAAGAAGGGAGAAAGGGAGACATGGAGTCTGCCTAAATATTGAGAACTTGGAATTATTTCTCTCTTCTACTCCCTTCACCCACAGTGGTCAAAGAATGGTCATATACAACATAGTCTTTTTAATAGTAACTGTAACAATAAAACTAGATGTCTCTTCCATTTAAAAGACTCCAGAACATGGCTACAAAAGCTGGGTACAGCATGTGAAGCAGCCAGGAAACAACAGTATTTCAGAGCATGCACTTCCTGCAACAGGGCACGAACACTTCACTTCTAAGTCACCCTTGCTCCCTCAGGTGCAGGTTTGCCCAAGTACATTTTTGATTGTAATGGAATTAATTCATCAGGTGAAAAAAAAAATAAAAATCAAACACCCAGTATCATGTGATTATAGCCCCATGAACCACCTCCAAGAGCCCTGTGCAGCCCAGTGGCAGGAAGACTTGCTCTAGAACCAATTCCTTTTTCTTTTTGAAGCCAAGAATGGCAGAGGAAAGGACCAGAGCCATGTGCTGTGGCTTGTGGGTGTGGATGGCAGCTGGGGACAATGACAAAGGTCCAAACCTGATCATGTGCTTTCCTTCTTGATGCTGGTTGCAGCAGAGATCTGAGCAGAAGTTGTGAAAGTAACAAATAGGGATGTTATCATTGCAGTGTTTTCAACTTAGTGACCAAAAGTGCAATATGAACAGAAACCAAATAGTCTGTGTATTTCTACCATTACAAACCACAGCAGTGGGAAGCAATAACTTAGAAAAAAAGAATTAACTTCACTCTAAGGGTGGTGAGGAGCTGGAATGGGTTGCCCAGGGAGATTGTTGATGCCCCATCCCTGGAGGTTTTTAAGGCCAGGTTGGATGAGGTTTTGTGCAGCCTGGTCTGGTGGTTCCCTGCTCATGGCAGGGGGGTTGGAACTGGATGATCTTTAAGGTCCCTTCCAACCTTCACGATTCTATGATTGTGTGAAATAAAGAAAGCTAAAGGCTGGTGATTTAATCACTGTCTTTTGCTAAACACAAACTGGAATAATCCAAACCCAGTAAATAAAAATCTTCCATTCAGGATAAGATTCCTCTCTCTCTTTCCCAGACTCTTTCTCTGTCTTATAAGGCCAGATTCTTCAAAAATCACTTTATCAGACTTTCGTCCTCCTTTCAGGAAATTGTATCAAACCCTCATCCCTAGAGCACTCAGCAAGAAGACCCTACTACCAGAAGAAAGCAAGGAAGCAGGGAATTTCAAATCCAGCAGTTTAAGACTGCTCATCAGTCTTGAATCTTTACTCCAACCTTTTCCTGATGAGCTCTGCACTACGAAAGCTCCTCCACAGCAACTGCATCAGCACACTGCGTGGGCAATGTCCACCTCTGCTCACAGACAAGCTTTTGCTGGCAGCCTGGCTGTGCAGATCCACTGGAGTAACATGAGCTCATCCTGCCTGCACTCCTCTGTCCATGATCTGAACTCCTGCTGGAGCAGCTCTGCTGATGAAGATCCTTCACCATCACTCTCAGGACTCCCATAGTGAGGCTGACACATGTTCACCAAGTACAAAAGTAACACTTGCAAGTCCTGGTAAAGATTGTTTTGAAGTGAAAGGAAATAATTTTTTTTAACAGTTATTTTTTTTTTTTTCCTCCATCTAGGCTTGTGGACTTTATAACCTGCTCTTGCAACGTGCTTGGCATGTTCTCAGATCTGTCATGCTTACAACAGGTAGTGTGGGTACTCACACAGGTGGGACAAAGAGGAGCTGGCACAGAGACAACTGAACAGCAACTTTATAACCTGCTCTTGCAACGTGCTTGGCATGTTCTCAGATCTGTCATGCTTACAACAGGTAGTGTGGGTACTCACACAGGTGGGACAAAGAGGAGCTGGCACAGAGACAACTGAACAGCAACAGCAGAGTTTTCAGCAGAACATCCACACTCCTGCCTTCCATAATTACACCAGGTAACAAAGACATATTCCTTGCACATACAGTACAAGATCTGAATCTCCAGCCTCTGCTTTTCTGAGCTCTCAACTCTTCACAGGGAGAGCTATTGTGGGAGTTCCAACACAGTGCTTTTCTGCCCCTGGGTTGTGTCATTACAGGTGGAAGAAGTACTCCCTGCACCCACTGCACAGATCCTGTTCAGATACATCTCCTTGTGGTTTTTAGCCTGTGTATTTTTCATAATGAACAATGCAATAAACACGGAGTGTTTGCAGTGTTAAATCATGTTCCCAAAGGGAGCAGTTTGTATAACAAGATAAAATTATCACAT